CGAAAAAGGTTCCCTTCTCTTTGCCCTCTACGCACAAATACTAGAAAGAGGGCATTGGGTAGGCAACATTTTTTGTAGAAACGAAAACGAATGACGATCTTCGTAAATGAGCGATATGTAGTTTAAAAGTTAAGAAAAGGCATTTTATATATCTACTCCAAAACTTCATACTACGCCATAATAGGCGTTAAATTAATGATTAATAATATACTATTTTTTTCATATTTGCTTTTTTGTAACGTTTCTAAATCTTCGGCGAAAAATAGAATACAACTAAAGCCAGAGCGTTTACTTTCGAGTGTATAAAGTAGTGTAAAAATGATATTTTTGACGCCGAAAACTTTACCACTATTCAGATCAAGTCTCATCTAAAAATGGAGCATTAAAGTAAATTCAGGCTAGCGACTTTGGCTGTTATTCAGAAATTTTTCTATAATATTTTTAAAATATCCACTTCATGGACATATTATGAGCGGATAGCGTCATAACTTAAAAAAGCAAAACTCGAGAAAAATGGCTTTAAAGTTTTTAATTTATGTACCCATAAAAAAATGAATACATATTTTTTCTAGTGAGATACTGGTAGTCAATACAGATATGAAATTTTTACACAGCATAGAAGATTTCTACATAATTAACTCAATATTTGCATTTTTGGATTATGACACTATTGAGGTAAACGAGCGATGTAATGTCAGTAGTCGTATATGAACCAACAAAAATCGGTTGTTCGTCATATAATCCAGTGATATTAGTTATTACGAAAATATGTAAGTTTTGGAACACGCAGCCTATTTCTCAAATTTCCATTATATTCTTTTTTTTTAATTTTACATTTTCNCCGAAAAAGGTTCCCTTCTCTTTGCCCTCTACGCACAAATACTAGAAAGAAAGCATACAATTTATTTATTTTTGAGTAATGACGATCTTAGTAAATTAGCGATATGTAGTTTAAAAGTTAAAGAAAGGCATTTTATATATCTACTCGAAAACTTCATACTGCGCCATAATAGGCGTTAAATTAATAACATACTCTTTTTTCAAATTTGCATTTTTGTAATGTTTCTAAATCTTGGCGAAAAAGAGAATACAGCTAAAGCCAGAGCGTTTACTTTCGAATGTATAAAGTAGTGTAAAAATGATAATTTTAACGCCGAAAACTCTACCAATATTCAGATCAAGTCTCATCTAAAAATGGAGCATTAAAGTAAATTCAGACTAGCGACTTTGGCTGTTATTCAGAAATTTTTCTATAATATTTTTAAAATATCCACTTCATGGACATATTATGAGCGGATAGTGTCATAACTTAAAAAAGCAAAACTCGAGAAAAATGGCTTTAAAGTTTTTAATTTATGTACCCATAAAAAAATGAATACATATTTTTTCAAGTGAGATACTGGTAATCAATACAGATAAGAAATTTTTACACAGCATAGAAGATGTCTGCATAATTAAATCAATATTTGCATTTTTGGATTATATCACTATTGAGGTAAACGAGCGATATGTAACGTCAGTAGTCTTATATGAACCAACCAAAATGGGTTGTTCATCATATAATCCAGTGATCTTAGATATTACGAAAATATGTAAGTTTTGGAACACGCAGCCTATTTCTCAAATTTCCATTATATTCTTTTTTTTTTTAATTTTACATTTTCTATATGTGACCTGGTCTACGGAAAGGGGGCTTAGGAGCCAAAAAATCAATTTTCACTTTTTGGTTGATTCGGATGGAAGATGAGATGATTTTCACTTTTAACAGCTTTTTCACAGAAAACGTTTTTCGCACGTAAGCTCCCTTTTCGTAGACCAGGTCACATATATGTATGTACATATATTTTATTATCCCATTTCAGACACGGTTTCTTAAACCTCTATTGATGCCTATTGGTCTCAAACAAAGATTAGTATATGTTCTATCAGAAGATATAATTTTGAACTATAATCTTGAAGGTACACATGGTAAAAAGCGCATGTTATTGTATCCAAAGCTAATGAGTGTGCTATACAGTAAGTAAAAATTAACAAAGAATTTTTATGTATAACAAAAAAAACTTCCTATTATCGAGCGAGAACTAAAATTAAATAAAGGCGGATTCATCGTTCTAGTTCTTAACTTTGCTTCCATGTGGTTGGTGTTGCGTTTCTCTCCTAGAAACAGCGATGAATCCGCCTTAAGGTTTTGCGTGCAAAGAAATGATTAACTGCCAATTGCTGAGTACATCGTAGATTCGATTTCCGTGCAATAGGAAGTTCAACTTATTGACTATATNAAATTAACAAAGAATTTTTATGTATAACAAAAAAAACTTCCTATTATCGAGCGAGAACTAAAATTAAATAAAGGCGGATTCATCGTTCTAGTTCTTAACTTTGCTTCCATGTGGTTGGTGTTGCGTTTCTCTCCTAGAAACAGCGATGAATCCGCCTTAAGGTTTTGCGTGCAAAGAAATGATTAACTGCCAATTGCTGAGTACATCGTAGATTCGATTTCCGTGCAATAGGAAGTTCAACTTATTAATATTTTTTATTTGAAAGTCCAAGAAATACACTTCAGTCATTCATGGCTTCCTGGCCTCTACAACAACAACAACAAAACGGCTTCCTGGTTAATTGTCCATTTAAGGGATTTTAGAGAAAAAATAATGAGCTTATCAAAAAATGTTGTTTAACTTGTGTTAAGATGGTAGTGATCAGTAAAGATGTAAGAATTAAAAGTTGCGTTCCTTATCTCTCAGAAATAGTCAAAAATAGTCCGAAATAGTCAGATTTAGTACNCATTTAAGGGATTTTAGAGAAAAAATAATGAGCTTATCAAAAAATGTTGTGTAAAGATGTAAGAATTAAAAGTTGCGTTCCTTATCTCCCAGAAATAGTCAACAATAGTCCGAAATAGTCAGATTTAGTATAAAAGCGTGTCTTAACTTGAAAATATTAGAAGAAATGAGAGAGCAACTGTGACTCTCTTCAGTCCGAAGTTACAAGATTTTGTCCGAAGAATTTTTGCAGGCAAAATCTTGAAAACTCAACTGAATTTAAATTAACGGCTATTAAAGAATACACGAATAGTGATAATAATCTAAAAACTAAAAAAAAGTTAATTGAAAATGGAAGGAAGCAAAAAAAAATGTATTAGGTATGCGTTTATTATGCGTGAGCGCATTTTCCTTACGCTCTTGCATTTTGACACTTTTTAGATTTTAGTCAGAAAAGATAAGGAATGGACCTATAGAATACATGATAGCGCCTTCCCGGTGGTGATGACATTTCTCAAGTAAAAATAAGGAGTAGGAGGATAATATAAACTGTCAGATTAGTCAATTATCTTAATATTCAATTTATGTAAATTGAAATTGTAAAAATACATATATGATTTATAAAAAGAATTAATAAGAAAAATTAAAAAAAAAACGTTACTTTTGTAAAAGTATAAGTGAATTTGAGGGAATTTGAAGCAGGGCTTGAACAACTTTCAGCACAGCGGCAACAGCACTACTTATTTTTTGTTTGCTTCGATTTGAAATTTTTGATTTTAGTTCCAACTGCTTTGCCTTTGCTTTTTTATAACCAGTTTATTGAAAGCCATTTATTGCTATTGATTTGATATGATAGTGTTTTTGTGATCTACTTGGCTGTGCTGTGCACATGAAGTTTTGCAACATCGTTGACTCGCCAAGAGTGAGTAGCAGTCACAAAATTTGCGATACCAATTCATTTGCCTAACGAATTAAACATGGCGATGTCATTGGAGCCTATAGAGCGGTACGCGTGGCAATTATCTGGTGCGAAATTGGCAATTACCAATCGCCAGAGAATTGCCTAATAATCGGTAAAGCATGGAATTGTTAGCTTATGGTCGCTTCTTGTCACCAGTAGGATTGCAGCGTAGTGCATTTGTCCATGCATACATATTTCTGCCAATTGGATGCTTCACAGCAAAGTGATAATAAAGTTGTTGTTGCTTTGCTGTCGCTGCGCTGCCGTTGTACTTTCACAAATTGCTTTTTAACTGCCTGGTTGCTTTCGAAATTTCATAGCAAACCGACAGCCAAAGATTTAGCTTGTTTCTGAATTGCTGTTGCTTTGCAGCAAAAGCAAATTAAATGAAAAAATTCCGGCGTTTGNAATAAAGTTGTTGTTGCTTTGCTGTCGCTGCGCTGCCGTTGTACTTTCACAAAAGAATTTGCTTGTTTCTGAATTGCTGTTGCTTTGCAGCAAAAGCAAATTAAATGAAAAAATTCCGGCGTTTGGAAACCCTGATTTGGAGTTTCTTATGCGTTGTTTACTTTTACTTGAGAATTGTCAAAAGTGGCAAAATAGCGGTTTGTTCTCTGCATCGTGGTAAAAATGTGCATTAAATAACGAATATGTACTCAGTGATTTCGTGTTTTAAAAACAATTCGACTTAAGTTGTTCTGTTGTGTTTGTAGTTATAGCCCCGCTGTTGTTGTGGTTGTAGTGACTAATAAAAATCCACTTTTAAGGTAGATCAATTGTTTCATCATGTTTCAGTTAAGAGACCGAAACAGAGCCCAAATACTGATGAAGCTAGATATAAAAGGAAAAAATATATCNTTGTTTCATCATGTTTCAGTTAAGAGACCGAAACAGAGCCCAAATACTGATGAAGCTAGATATATATTAAAAGAAAAAATATATGTTTAAAGTTTTGCCTGCATTTTAGGTATTGAAGTGCCTAGAAATATGTAAAATTGAAGTAAAATTTTAAAAGCACACTCCAATTCTTATTTTTGTAACGTGTTTTAGAAGAGAAAGGCATTTTAGCTTGATAATGACAAAAGAAAACTGCTTTTACTTTGTCTACAACCACGGCGGCAAAATCTTAAATTGCATTTAGTTAATTTTTTTTCGCTCGAGCGAAGAGAACGATTATTTGGCTCGAAAATTAAAATAATAGATTTTTATATTTTGCCTTTCCCCAGGTGCAACCGACCGTCCCGGCTGGTCTTATAAATTATTCTTAGATGATTTGCGCAGAGGTTTTCAATTTGGCAAGAAGAAACATTTTAGACAAAAATGTAGATTAAATAAATTAGCCGCCCCTAAAACTTCAAGAAATCCGTTGTCAAGCCCGGAGGAGGATAATGATGATGATGATGATCCCGACTATAAATGAGTGTTTGTCTTATTTAATTTAACGTATGTACATTTAAGCATATAATTAAGTTTGTACTTAAGTAAGGAATGCTGATTAATGTCTAATAAAGTTCAAATTTGAAACATTTTAACAAAAAAGATATTAACCATAACAGATGAAAAATAAAAAGAATGCTTTTATGTAAACATCTTAATACTCAGTTTAAATATTAATTAATTTTTCTTTTTAATATTTGCACCACGAGAATGCACCCGAGCTACATATGTATCGTCACCTTAATTCTCAACGGCCCTAAACAAATTTTTAATTTTACAGGAGAAGCAAAAACATAATGAAAATAGTATCAGACACAGGTGGGACTTTTTAAAAAATAACAAGTAACTCCGTTGTCTTGCTACTACGACCCTAGAATTTTTATTGAAGGTGTGTATTAATACATCCTACCAAAATCTGTGAGAAACGCAATTTCGAAAAAAGTGTTGGTTAGGGCCTTTGTGAATTACAGTAACGGCATGTATCTATAAGTATTCGAGCTCGGGTTATTCGGTTAATCGATTAGTCGAATTATTCGAATGTCACTGAAGTCGACTACAGTTAATCGGTTAACAATATGCGACTAGTCGAAAGCTGTCGACTATTCAATTAACCGCTTACTTTAGATTATTTGGTTAACCGGTAATTTTCGGTTAATCGATGATTTTATGTTCAACTATATAAATAGTCTTACTGGAGGGAATAAAATTAAATTCCCTCCCATATTCAATTACTAAATCTTTTGTTATCAATGCTAAAGGCCCCTATTGCGAGTGTCGACTGGCAGTAGAATAGAAATTTGTCGATCGAGTCGATCATCTTTTATTTTGCTATTGTGTAACTTGATCGATAAAAATTTGTACTATTGTGAATGGTTGCGGAATTGTAAACAGCTGTTTGTTTGTTTACATTTGTGTCTCTAATGTTTCATTTACATCATTTTTAAAATAATTGCTTTTATTATAAAATTTAAAAAATGGACACAGTTGAAATGTGGTTTAGTGATGAGGAAGATGATGTGGAAGCTAATAGATTAGTAGTTGGCTAAAGCATGGAGGGAATTGCGAGATTCGTCGGATCCCATGGAGTTGGAAGATGAAGTGTATGTACATATGTGAATTTTATGAAAAGAAGTTGCGTTCCCGATGCTTCAAGGTTTTTAGGTTTTACAGGATTTGCAGGAAAAGCTGTTTTCCTCATTAATAAATTTTATGGAAGTTTAAGAAATACGGTACCGTTTAGTTATTTGTACAATGATATTGTGTATTTGTGTCCAAACGCGTGACACGAGTTTTAAAACTTTAACATACAAGTGTAGTGAAAGAATTAAACTTTAACATAAATATTTCAAGTTTCCGAGCATTAGTTAATTAATAAATTATGCAGTTTTTTGTAAACTTTGATGTTGGTTCTGCGCAAAAACACTGTGGATGGCGTAGCCGGAATTATATGCACAAGAAATATTGTATATCTTTCACAAAAGAAGCGGAGCTTCCTCCCCTGCTCTTTACGGAAATTCCTTTGCCTATGTCCTCACTCTCCTGCATCAGCTCGACCAACCGCGCAAGTTGCCTTTTGTTGCTTACAATTTTTTATCTGTAATTCAGACACATATGTATATTTCACAATTTTTTACAACTTCCAATTCAATTGACTTACTTTTTATCCATTATAGTACCACTTTCTTATGTAAATTCTATAAACGCAAAATCCAACGACTAAAAAACAGCAATAGAAGGATGAGCGATTAAAAAGTATTCACAGTCGCTAATTGAGCGACTAAGCGACACTCACAATAGCATCGATAATCGATAATCGCTTAATAGTCGTTTATCTACTGCCAGTCGACACTCGCAATAGGGGTGAAAGGCTATATTATAAGATACATTTTTTCGAAAGTAACAACGGCTACATAACCCTCTAGTCGCTTCTTCTTGGCCTTGTTAGGTCTATTGTTTGAATTTTCATTGTGGCAAGATTCGGCTAAATGTGTGCTAATTATTGAAAATTTATTGCGAAACATTTTAGAGACACTAGTTAAAGCTTACCTTTCATTTTTGCGATTTTTCTTATGGATTTTTTGTAAATGGTTGTTCCGACAGGTCGTGGAACGTATGTGTGTGCATGTACACATATTTTACATATTTTTGCATTTGTCAAAAAAATAGAAAATTCGGTTACAGAAATTCGACTTGCTACAATACTCGAATAGTCGACGGCGGGCAGCGAATACCACCAACCGATTTATAAGCATGCGAACGGTTACGAATCGAATAATCGGTTAACCGAATAGTCGGATAATTTTACGAGCCTTAATAAGTATATGTATGTATGTATATGAAAAGCGATTAATAGCTTTGCTAGCCATGTGTTAGCGTGCACATTACAACCCCAAAGGATATTTGGAAATACGCAAGCAAACTCAAAACTTATTCCAGCCACATTTTACTGTTAATGCAACAGGGAATTAGTTGGGTGACTATAGAGAGAGAGAGAGAGAGACCAGCAAAAATAAAGTTGGGCTGCGAAAAAGTGTTCCACCATTATAGCACGTTTTACTGCACATTCATCATACACACTCACGCGAATCACCACTTGCATTTTACCGTAATGTATTGCCGTTCATCCTAAAAGTGCGCTATGAAAAATTACACTCTCTCGAATTTCCGGCTTCCCCAACAGGAAATACTCTAAATGGAGCTGTTAAATGTGGCCAAGAAGAGTGGTAAAAACGTATATTGAAAGAAAATATTACAAAAAATGAAAAATGTTATGCAACAAGAATCTGCCGACGCTTGGGTGCGGTTGCGCGTGTTTATAGTTGCAGCGCATATACTTTTACCGCAATGGCGGTACTGTCAGCTAGACAACAGCACCATTTGATGGTTAGCAACTATTGCATGGAGGAGCAGTAGCATTCGCTCATATTAGGCTTAGCATAGCTGTCAGCATTGGAGTTGTGCTGGAATTCAACTTAAAAACTTGTAGCATTTTGAAGTGTACTTTTGACACTGTGGTCTGGCACTATTGCAAGTTTCTGCATTATGTTTGTATGTCTGTATGTATGTACTTCTTGTGCTGATGTTGGGGGCTGTGGGATAGTTATGCGTACGTGAATATTTTCGCTAAGTAGGGCAAAGAGGATACCATAAATGTCTTCGACCTCAAGTTGAGCGTCTGTACAGAAATTTTAATGTATGTATGTGCATATATACATATATACATACAGTGCCGAACAGAAGTACTGGCTTACAGCAAAATACATTTTATGTGTGTATATATGTTTCATATTTAGTTAACTTTAAACACAAATCTACGCACATACCTACGCAGTATTTCTGCTACACACTCATTTTTGCTGTCACATATTCATACGTGCTTGTGCATTAGACTGCATCACCAAAAAAAGTTGCGGGTTTTCCGGCGGGATTACTAAAACTTCTGCCAAAATATTTCGGAAAAATATTAAGATTTACGTGAGCTGGACCGGTTTGAAAATACCTCTAAAAATGGAGTTTTCTTATGAATAAAAATAGTTTCTTAAAGGATTTTTGGATTAAATTCCCCTCAGACGATGAAACAGTTTAAGCTTAAAAAATCTACATAAAAATATTAAAACATTTTATCCACGGAATCATAATAATGAGATTTTTGATGCTGATTTTTAACTTTTTTCAAAGATTTGTGCAAGAACAACTTGAATAACTGCTCCCAAACTTTGCCGATATAGACTTATGAGGTATCAATGGAAAGTATTTTCTCACCTATTTTATTTCTTTGCAAAAAACGCACTCACGTCCCAATATTTTCTTTATCATATACCAACACATCTTAATTCAACATGGAATGAAACTCGTTTATCTTACAATACATACATGTGCATATCGCAACATATCCCATTCGTAGAACTGCTTCAGAATGCGAAAAAATCATTGGTAAATGCATTCAAAGGCTGCCAGACGCGAATGGAAAAAGGACGTAAATTTATACATACCCTGCAGGAAATGTATCTAAGTATTAGCTAGCTTTAAGTTGATTAGGAAAGAGCTAAAAGTCACTATTATCTGTATATTTTCTTTGACGAAAGCTAACTATATTTCTATGGCGATGGCCGCGAAATAGTGAAGGGTGGTTACCTCTGCATTTGATGTAACTAACTACTTTTGGACATAAAATATCAATAGGAAAAACAAAATGTATTTTAATCTTTTTTAATTTTTTATTTTATTTTATTACATTTCATATTTATTTACATATGTATTCTGCTGTAGGTGGTCCCATATTCGAGCTACAAATATGAAATTTCGATCTTCCTTTTATTATATTATTTTTACTATAGAAACGCGTTTAAAGGAAACAATCTCCTGCATTATTCCTGCGTTACTTGTTAACTAGTTTCAAGTTTGTTTTTTGTAGCTACCTACAAGTTATATATTTTATAGAAATCCTGCAAAAAAGCTAACTGCAAGTGGTTTATTTTTTATCAATTGATAATTTTTTTTTGTAGGTTATGTATGTGCATACGTATGGAGATATGTACATGTGTATGTACATACATACGTACACTAGGCGCGAAATGAAAGAGTACACCTTTTTCTAATATAATATTTACTATTATTTTCATGATTTTTTGCATTAATTACTTATGACAAATATAGTTAATTCTATAATATCAACCATATAAATAAAAGTTTCACACATTATGTATATCGTTACCTTGATGTAGAAAGGCCCTTACTCATATAGTCGCTGAAGTGCAAAAAAGTCTAACGACTTAAATTTTTTATTGCTTAAAATAATGTGGAGACTTATATAATTCGACGAAATTCATCATAATCAATCAACAAGGGAATTTTTTGATTTTTTACTCAGTTACGGCTCTTTGTATTTCAGCGACGATGTGTCAGTTACGGTTCTATATTAAGGTAAGGATATAGAGAAAAATTCAAAAAAATGTTATGAAAATTTTTAAGTTTTTATTCAGAATTTATTTTATT